AAGTGACAACATGGAGCGTGATTTGATTGAGCAAGCTATCCTGCTTAATACAAGAGAAGAGTATGTCGCGTGAGAACAACGTTGCGACAAATTTATAGAATCTCTGGAGAAGCAGAGCCGTATCAAACGCCCGCGATTATCGATTGGTAATAGACAATCAGTGATCGCATGTATCGCGCGGCTTGAAAGCTTGAAGGGTTCGGTGCGCGGACGATTCGTGCATGTTGGCGCAGGACATAAGACTTCGATGGCGTGAAATCGAAACGGGGTTCGAAAGTCGTATAATAACGGCCGCGGTAATAAACACCAATTATATCGAACCTCGGCGATTTCTCGAAGACGCGAGTGAAATTGTGCTCGAGCGTGTACAGGGTATCATGCAGAGATATGACTCTATAAAAATAAATACAGTATTTAACGGTGAATTCGTGGCTGGTGACAAACGCGCGAACAAGAGCATCGCCACCCGGAACTATGAACTATACCGATGTACCGATTTGCGCGAGTGGTACGTAACGCGCATCGTTGAGCCTATCCTAGCATCGTTCGAAGAATTTCAAGAACGCGACAGCGGATGGGCACTGTCGCGTATACTAAATTTGGCGATGAACGCGAATAAACTAAATCCTCTGCTCGCGGGATGTCACATCAAACTGCCGCGAGAAATTATGCTAAAGAGAGCGGTGATCAACGTACAATCCACGGACAATGCGTGTTTTGCACGGTCGGTGATCGCCGCTCTGCATCCAGCTCAAAAAAATGTGGAGCGAGAGTCATCATATTCGCATTATTCCACAGTTCTAAATCTCGCAGGCATCGAATTTCCGATGACACTGAGCCAGATTAAGAAATTTGAAGCACTAAATGACATTTCCATCAACGTCTACGCCATCGAGAAAGGGATCGTGCCGGTACGACTTACCGATCGAAAGAGGAGCAAGCACGTAAACCTCTTGTACGTGGAGGACGATAGCGTGGGACACTTTGCGCTCATCAAAGATCTATCTCGCCTTGTCAGTTCTCAACTTAGCAGAAAAAAGAACAGGAAATATTTCTGCGATAGGTACGTAATAATAATAATAATGATAATGATAATAATAATAATAATACTAATAATAATAATTTTTTCCAGATGCCTTCACTACTTTGACTCGAGCGCAAAACTGGAGATCTATACTGAGGACTGTGGGAAACTAAACAATTGTGCGATAAGGCTGCCGAGCGAGGACGACAAATGGCTGAGCTTTCGCAACCACTGCAGGAAAGAGCGCGTCCCGTTCGTAGTCTACGCCGATCTTGAGTGTTCATTGGAAAGAATAGATAGCGATTCACAATCCGCTACGCATACGTACCAACATCACAACGTCTTCAGCGTAGGGTATTACGTGCACTGCTCCTACGACAGCTCACTGTCGGGCTATCGTTTTTGCCGCGACAAAGACTGTACATCGTGGTTCACAGAAGAACTCAGACAGTTAGCGCACAGTATACAGTCTGTAATTTCAGCCAATGTTCCCATGGCAGATTTCACACGCGACGACTGGGAAAAATTTAACAGCGCCTCGCACTGTCACGTGTGCGAGAAACACCGTTTACACCTGACGATACGCGGGTACGCGATCACTGCCATCTCACCGGGCGATACAGAGGCCCCGCGCACTCAAATTGCCATCTAAATTACAGAGATTCGCGTTGCATACCTGTAGACTTTCATAACTTATCCGGTTCCGACGCTCATTTTATTATCAAGGAAATTGCAACCGCGTATGAAGGAC